TCCTTTGTTCGTCTCTTCGTCGTCCTCCTCCTGAGTCCGTTCTCCCGTCTCCTCCTCCGTCCTCTCTCCCTTTCCCCCCTACTCCTGTCACTGACTACTACCGCGCTGTTCGTCCTGTTGTCTCTCGTGTCCTCGCCACTCTTGTCACCACCTCTCGTTTCCCTCCGTCGTCTGTCTCGGCTCTCACTGCCGCTGTCGCTGAGTTTGCTGCCGCCAGTCGCCTTGACTACACCACCCGTGTGGTGCCAGCTCCTCCCTCCCGTCCTCTGTCCGTCGGGGGTGAGTTTGCCCTTGGCTGTGACGTCCTAGAGGACAGAGAGTCTGAGCTGGAGTACTGGGCAGCTGCTTCTCCCTCTGTCTGTGCCATGCTGCTATCCCCTGAGGGAGACCCCGACGCCCTTGACATACCGACTCCTCGTACTTACCGCGAGGCAGTGTCAGGGGCGTGGGCCTCTCAGTGGAAAGTGGCTATGGCCTCGGAGTTAGCGTCTTGGAGATCCACAGGCACCTACGTCGACGCAGTTCCCCCTCCCAGGGCGAACGTAGTCGATGGCATGTGGCTCTTCAAGGTGAAGCGGCCGCCTGGTTCACCGCCTGTGTTCAAGGCGCGCTACGTTGCTAGGGGTTTCAGTCAGCGTTGTCAGATTATAATGCTTGTCTAGCCTGCAGTGGGGTACTCTATAGTGAGTACGGCCCCTTAGGGTTCCCTATTTGTATCCCAACTGTTGCTAGTCCAATTCCTCCTTTGCTCATTCTCTCTTGCCTAGCTAGGTAAACCCTAGCTATGGCTCCTCCTTGTGCCTACTATTCTAACATGGTATCTAGAGCGAGCACGTTCCTGCCGCTTACCTCAACGGGCCCACCAACTGCTTCCGCTGTCGTTCTGTTTGTCGCGCGCCCCGTGGTGCGCGACGTGTTATTTTCTTTCCGCCACGCGCTCCGAGCGCGTGGCGGCTTTTTCTGCCCGCCGCGCGCTCGGTGCGCGTGGCGGTTTAACCGTCCGTCGAGGCGCCCCGGAGGCCCGCGCGCCACCCCCTCCCGTCGCCCGTCGTGGCGCTCTCGGGGGCCCGCGCGCCATCCCCTCCCGTCGCCCCGTCGCGGCGCCCTGGGGGCCCGCGCGCGGCCCCCCTCCCGTCGCCCGACGTGGCGCCTCAGGGGCCCGCGCGCCTCCCCCTCCCGTCGCCTCGTCGCGGCACCTTGGGGGCCCGCGCGTCGCCCCCTCCCGTCGCCTCGTCGCGGCGCCTTGGGGGCCCGCGCGCCGCCCCCCTCCCGTCGCCTCGTCGCGGTGCCTTGGGGGCCCGCGCGCGGCCCCTCCCGTCGCCCGTCGAGCCGCCCTCGGGGGCCCGTGCGCGGCCCCCCTCCCGTCACCCGCCGTGGCGCCCTCGGGGGGCCCGCGCCCTGCTCTTTCGTGGCGCCCAGGAGACCCCCCCGACGCCTCCCTTTCCCTCCGTGAACAGCCCCTGCTGCTTCCCGCGCTCCTGCCTGCGTTAGGGTTTGGGGGTGGCGGGCATGGGGGTGAACGGTGTGGGTAAACTGCAGCTCCTCCTCCTCCTCCTCCTCCTCCTCCGTCTCCCACTGCTGCAGCTGCCGCTGAGGGGGGTGGGTGTGTGGGAGCCGAGGGTTTAGGGTTTAAGGGGGGTGACGTGGGAGTGGAGCTAGGGGTGCAGCAAGGGGTGTGTGAAAGGGGGATGGGACAGTTGGGGGAGGTTGAGCGGAGGCTGCCGTCTTGTCGTCCGCAGCACCTGTAGTCCGGGGCGCTGTCCTGGTAGCCCAGAGAGCCTGCTGCGCCTGTCGCCCGTGGGTCCGTTGCTCCTGCCGCTCCTCGTAGCCGCCGAGCCAGTTACTCCAGTAGTCCAGGGCGCTGTCCCGGTAGCCACTGTGCCAGCCGCTCCTGTTGCCCGTGTGTCTGCAGCTTCAGCCCTCGCCTCCTATCTTCTCTCCTCTTACAGCCCCGCCTCCTCCTCCTCACTTGCCCTTTGTGAATGCCTCTAGCTTTGCTTGCACTTGTGAACCTACTCTATACCTGCTTGCTGTGCTGATTATACCCCACTTTGACTATGGGGGTGTGTCAGATTATAATGCTTGTCTAGCCTGCAGTGGGGTACTCTATAGTGAGTACGGCCCCTTAGGGTTCCCTATTTGTATCCCAACTGTTGCTAGTCCAATTCCTCTTTTGCTCATTCTCTCTTGCCTAGCTAGGTAAACCCTAGCTATGGCTCCTCCTTGTGCCTACTATTTTGACAAGCGTGAGGGAGTTGACTTCTTCCAGACCTTCGCCCCGACCCCGAAGATGACTACTCTTCGGGTGTTACTGCATGTAGCAGCACAGCGAGACTACGAGCTGCACTCCCTTGACTTCTCTACTGCGTTTCTCCAGGGCAGACTACACGAGGAGATCTGGCTACGCCGCCCTCCTGGCTTCACTGACACCTTCCCACCTGGGACCCAGTGGAGCCTGAGACGGCCAGTTTACGGTCTCCGCCAGTCGCCCCGTGAGTGGCACGACACTCTTCGCTCCACGCTTCGTGACCTTGGGTTTTGTCCTACCTCTCCCGACCCGTCGCTGTTTGTTCGCACTGGTTCCACTCCTTTCTTTATACTAGTGTACGTCGACGACTTGGTCTTTGCCACAGCAGACAGGGCAGCTCTGGCTCAGGTGAAGTCCGAACTGCAGAAGAGACACAAGTGCACTGACCTAGGTGAACTGCAGCGCTACCTTGGCCTGCAGATCACCAGGGACAGAGCCGCTCGCACCATCACACTGACTCAGTCACACATGGTGCAGCAGGTCCTTCGGCGGTTCGACTTCCAGTTCTCCACCACACAGCCCACACCTCTTGCTGTTGACCACAGACTCACTGGCCCCTTTCCCGACGAGCCATTTGAGTCCAGTGGTCCCTACGCAGAGCTGGTGGGCTGCCTCATGTACCTGATGACTTGTACTCGGCCGGACCTCGCCTTTCCCCTCAGCATACTTTCTCGCTTTGTTGCGAATGGGAGACACCGTCCTGTCCACTGGACAGCTGCTGTGAGGATGGCGAAGTACCTGGCGACTACATCAGGCATGGGGCTTGTACTTGGAGGGACTCAGCTAGTGGCATTGACTGGTCACTGCGACTCTTCCTACGCTGACGACGTGGAGACTCAGCGCTTGACTCAGGGTTACTGCTTCAGTCTGGGAGCTGGTGCTGTGTCGTGGAGGTCTACACGGTCGTCGTCTGTGGCTACTTCCAGTGCAGAGGCAGAGATCTACGCTGGTGCCATGGCGGCACAGGAGCTTCGCTGGTTGACCTTCTTGCTCGCCGACCTTGGTGAGCGGCCTCGCTCTGCACCGACCTTGTACGCTGACAACAAGGCCATGATCCTCCTCTGTCGAGAGCCTCGACTGGAGAGCAGAGTGAAGCATATTGACATGAGGTACTTCCTCCTGCGAGAGCTGCAGCGACGCGGCCAGGCACGCCTGGACTTTGTGGCCTCAGAGGCCAGCACTGCAGACGTCTTCACCAAGGCCCTAGCGCTTGGTGACCACCACAGGTTCTGTGTGCAGTTGGGGCTTGTTGAGGTAGGCCCTCGGTTGCTGTAGTCTTGTTGCTTGCTCTGCTTGTTGTGCTTTCCTATATATATCCTAGTGAACTCTTGAACTGGCCTTGTGGTTGCTTGCTTGCGCTCGGAATTTGTGTGGTGTCCTTGAGATCCACCCTGAGCTTGTTTTGCTTCTTGCTGACTGGTCTTGTGACCGTTTGTTCACCCTGCTTGTTCTAGTGCCCCTCACTTAGCCTATGGGGGTGTGTCAAATGTTGATATTTGTGATAGGATGTAGTGAGTTGCTCCTTAGAGAGTATAACACAGTTAGGGTTGCCTATTTGTATTTCCTAAACTCACCATTCCGTTGCATTCTACTCTTGAGATGACGCTACGAGAAATAGCCTCACTACATTTTGGTTATTCTAGGGCAGTAATTACCTTCCTTCCCCATGGCGGCCACAGGCGTCTGTAATTTCACGGACCGCTTTCGTGGCCACAGTGCTCCAAATATTACAGGGTTGAGGGTTGAATGCAAGCTCGTCGCCAACCAATTCCTCGTTTGACCTCGTCTCATTGTTCAAAGGTGTCACTATTGCTGAGCTTCTGCAGAGCAGACAATGAACGCAAGCTCGCCAACCAATTTCGTCTGACCTTGTTTCTGTTGTTGAAGACTGTCACTATTGTGCTGAGCTGCGGTTCCATGTCACCTGTTACAGTAACAGTACACGTATTACAACGACATGGATTGCACGGGAATGCCGGCTTCCATGGGGCGTCGGGACGGGTTTCGAACCCTAAGCGGAGACAGTTCTGTCTTTACTGAAACTATTCCGGAAGAAACGGCGAATTTTTGACGCCTTAGCGTACGGAGTGAATCGAACGGCGTCGTCTAACGGGGATGCGGAAGAGGAGGATTGCGAGGGCTTACTTACGGGTCAAGATGAGGGAATAAGCTACGCGGGGGGTGGTTGCTGCCCATCGCTGACCTTCAGCGAATTAAAGCCACACCAGAAACGGCTACCGATAGAGATTCTAACAATAGCCGCGCGATTGCCGCCATACTCGGCGAATACCAAGGATTGCGATCCGTCTGTTAGTAGCGCAGCAGAGTCGGACGAGGGTTACAATTCGTCCGCTCTCGCCACGTCCCCGTGTGATCCCAACGCACCGAGACTCCCTGGAACGGCCTTGTCGTGCTTCAGCATCAATGGGAATGGCGCAAGCGGCTCCGCCGAGGAGAACGATGATAATAGGGAGAACGAGAAGGAGGCGGCGAGAGAAGATAGAGCGGAAGACGCAAGGGAGAGTGAGAGAGAGAACAGGAGGGAATTCATTATGGAGCAGGGGCCTGAGGAGTATCATTCGTCTGATGATGAACGAGTGCGTCATGACTCTGAGTCAGATGAGGGGGGGCCTGAGGAGTATCATTCGGCCGTGAGGAGGAGGAGGCGAGGGAGGCGATGCAGGAGCGATCAATGGCGGAAGAGGGGGTCGCGGACGAGGCGGCGAAAGGGCGGCAGCGGCAGCAGTCGTGGTTGTCGAGTGTGGAGTGGTTCGTGTCGTGGCCGCTCAGACGACTCAGCCACCCGTGGCGGAAGGTACGCCGTTAAGTACCGCGCTATGGTGTGTGTGTGTGTGTGTGTGTGTGTGTGTGTGTGTGTGTGTGTGTGTGTGTGTGTGTGTGTGTGTGTGTGTGTGAGTGCATGCGTGCGTGCGTGTGCATGTGCGTGTGCGTGCAGCGTGTGCATATGTTGGCCAAGCCGTTGCCTTCTAAGTAGCTCACCCGTGGCGCAGGCTACACCGTGAGTACCGCAGTGCGGTGGGGACCGCCGGGATGCTGCTGCGCGTAGTGGTCCCAGTTCGTACTCCGCGTGCGTTCTGCGTGCTATAAAAGAGGTTCTGGGACCTCCCAGTGGCGTCAGTTCTGGGGGACGGCCCGGAGGGGGCTGCTGGCAGATTCTGGCGCCCTGGTGTTCATAACGGGATGAGAGGGATGGCATGCAGAGTAACTTGTTTCTGAGATTCCCCCCTGTGGTGTGGTCACATCCCTCCCTCCACCCACCCTCCTTCCCCCACCCAGCGAGTGCTGTCGGTGTGCGTGCTGGTGGCCACGGCCATCCTGTTGCTGGTGTTTGCGATGGCATGGTGGCATGCCACGTGGGATGAGACGGAAGGGATGACACGCTGAGTAACTTGCTTCTGGACTTTCCCTCTGTAGTCACCCTTCTCCCCCACAACCCTCCTTCCCCTTCCCCAGCGTGTGCTGTGGGTGTGGGTGCTGGTGGCAGCGGCCATCCTGCCGCTGGTGTTTGCGAGCCCTTATATACCCACCCCTCCCTCTTCTTCCCCCCCCCCTCCCCCCAAAACCCAAACAACCCCTCGCAGCGTGTGCTGTGGGTGTGGGTGCTGGTGGCCGCGGCCATCCTGTCGCTGGTGTTCCTAACGGCGTGGCAGCATGCCAAGACGAACGAGAGGCACGACCTGGAGGAGCACTGTAACGAGTGGGCGGCGTTCATCGGCGCCAATTTCAACACCACAGTCGCCAACACTCGCTCCATTTCTGATTTTGTCCGTGCTTATTACCTTGACAAGTAAGGGCATGGCAGGGCCACCGTTTCTCTTTGCTTCTCCCAGTGCTGCGAGTTTCTTGATGCGCCTCAAAGGCACTGTGAGAGCGATTGGGCTTCGTTCATCGGGAGGCCGAGCGATTGGGCTGCGTTCATCGGGGGACCGAGTTCAACATCGCAAAATCTTGAGGCCGCCAACACACACTTTCACACTCCGAAATTTCGCGGTGCACAGCTTAGAAAGTGTTTATGAAGGCCGAGCTCAACACCACTGGTGCCATGCCAACACACGCTCTGTCTCTGACTTTATCCGCGCCTATTACCTCTGCTGTAAGTAAGGTCATCCACAGCCCACGGGCGTGCTTTGCTCCTCCAGGTGACAAGTGCGTTCAGTTCGGTTGTCCGACTGGGAATGTAAGAATCAAGTATTTTCTTCTCCTGGTGGGTCAAACATACCACACTTTGGTGTGTTCCCCCCTTGAACCCACTCTATAGTCTCACGTGGCGAATTCCTTCCCTCCTCTCCCCTCGTCCTGACACTCGCCTCCCTGCTATCCCTTCACTTCCACCTACTTCCCTCCCTCTTCCATCTTCCTCCCGCCAACTTCCCCCTTCCCCCCTCCGAATTCACCGGTATCACCTCCGCCATTCTCCCGGACAAGCAGCATTAAGGAGGACTTTCGTGACTTGGCGAAATTCCAGCAGTTCACTCAAGCTACTCTTGACTTTCAAGTCGACCTTAATATGTATTCGCATTCTTCCCTCCCCCTCCCTTCCCCCAGCATGAAGGAGGACTTTCACGACTTGGCGAAATTCCAGCGGTTCACTCAAGCTACTCTTGACCATCGACCCATGGCTTCATGTGAGTTAAATTACATGTGATTTGAACCCATGGCTTCATGTGAGTTAAATTACATTTGATTTGAACCCATGGCTTCATGTGAGTTAGATTACATTTGATTTGAACCCATGGCTTCATGTGAGTTGCATGTGATTTGAACCCATGGCCTCGTGTGAGTTGCATGTGATTTGATTGAACCCATGGCCTCATGTGAGTGGCATGTTTTTTTAACCCATGGCTTCATGTGAGTTGCTTGTGATTTGAACCCTTGGCCTCATTTGAGTTGCCACCCACCCGCCCACCCACCCACTCTGTTGCGTGCAGTCGTGGCCTTCACTCTCCTCGTAAACAACTCGTTCATCCGAGACAGAATAGAGAAGACCTCCGGGGGCTGCTTCTATGCTTTCGAGCCCAACGGCACCATGTCATGCCGCCCGCGTGACCTGCCCCTGTACGCGCCACTGCTTGTTTTCAACCAACGCAAGGACTACAATCCCCGGGTGAAACCCGCCGATGGCTGCTGCTACGACATGATGACAGGTGAGTCAACGGGGTTTTGAGATTCCAAAGGTCTTTCTCAGAATGCATCTGGGGCCATGTCGTGCCACCGCGTGACCTACCCATGCACGCACCACTGTTCAACTTCAACGCACGCAAGGAGTTCTACCCTCGGGTGATCCTCACTGTTGTTCACTCGACCCAGGTTGGATCGGCCTGAGGATTTTACCGATGCAACCTGAATTAAAAAGGTCGGGTTGATCTGTTAGATTATATCTCTCCTTGTATCCTACATTGATCCTATTAACTTAGGGTAGAGATATGCACCCAAACTTAGTTTGGGTGCACAACTAGGGTTAACCCTAGTTGGGGGTTGGGAACTCAACCTTGACCCAATTATGTGGCCCCCAAGGAGAGGTTGGAGGTTTTTGGAACCTCAATAATGTTGGCCCAACGGTGGCCAACATTATTAAGCTAAGTGACGAAATACGCTTTTGCCTTAAAGCGTATAGCGTTTATCCGCTTGCGTATACACGCAAAACGCTATATGCTAGCAAATACGCTATACGCTCGGGAGTTTTTTTCTGGGCAGCCCAAGGTGAAAATTTTCGGGAATATATAGAAATCTGCCGTTTTTAACGGCGATCATTTCGCTGTGGTCGAAATGCTCATCGGAGATCTAGGGTAGCGGGAATGTCACTTCAATGTTTGGATTCCGGTTGGAGTTGCAATTTCGAATTTCAGGGTTCCACCTCTTTGAACCGAACCCAATCTACGAACTCCAACCTTTCCAGTACGTCCCCTCCAACACATCGTTTCTCGTCAGATCTACTTCACGTTCCCTCCCCCATCCGTCCATTCCACCTAGTCGCTCACTCCTCCTAGTATCCTACGCGATAATTTCTACTGCAGTTCCTAACCCGCCATCTGATTTCACACAGGATAACAATAGGCCACGTCCTCTTCGTGAGATTAGGGAGTGCCTTCCCGATGTTGAGCACGAAGTCTTTAAGCATTTCGCGTCATAGGGGAAAAAATGAACCTGAGACACAACCTCCGTGAATCCCCCCTGTGAACTATACCTAGGGTGTTTTTTTCACCCTGCCCGGGTTTTTTTTACCCTGCCCGAAAAAAACGTATTCCTGGATTCAGGACCTTAGCGTATAGCGTATAAACGCATGTGTATATACGACACGCGTATATACGCTATACGCGTATTTCGCCACTAAGTTATTAAGACCCCCCAATATGTTCACAACCCAACTTTTTGGTGAAGGCCAATGATGTTGGCCAAGAACCCAACAACCCCCCTTCTTGCTGAAACACCTATGTATACCCTTTTGTTTCTAAATACAATTAATCGGTTCTCTTCTCGTTTTCCCGCATGACCCGCTGACAAATCCAGACCCGAGAGTTGGGTCGGGTCGGGTCGGGTCGAGTTTCGTCGGGTCGGGTGGAGCTCATCAGAGGAGAGACCCGACCCGGCCAAATCCCGTGTCAGGTCAACCCATTGCTCATGCTGGCAGGTGATTCAATGGGATTTTATCATATTAGAAGTCCCTTCATCATATCCTGCCACCAGCGTGTCCTGCCTACCCCTGTACCTGTACCTGTACGCGCCGCCGCTGATCTGATCTGCAGCACCAACAGGGAGTTCTACCCTCGGGTGAGCATGAGCCTCACTGCTGTTCACTCCACCCAGGTCGGATCGGCGTGAGGATTTGCACAACGCAGCCCGGTCTAAAAGGGCCAGGTCAACAAATACCAGGGGTCATGTTGGGTCGACCTGGCATATCCGGACCCGAGTGTCAGACTGGGTCAGGTTGGGTCAAGTTCGGTCGGGTCGGGTCGGGTCGGGTCGGGTCGGGTCGGGTCGGGTCGGGTCGGGTCGGGTCAGGTGGAACCCGTCAGAGGAGTGAACCGACCGAGCCAAAATCCCTTGTCAGGTCGACCTGTTGCTCATGTACCCTCCCTCCCCCCTCCTCTCATTCACCCCATCCTTCTCCCCACTGCCTCCCACCGCCCCTCTCAGACCCACCAGTGAGTGACATGATTCATCGGGCCATCGATTCAGCCGCGTCCGCCATCAACCCAAGAGATCTCAGAGAATCATGAATCATTCCTCTCCACCCTGCCCTCCTTCCCCACCACCTCCCACCGCCCCTCTCAGACCCAGCAGTGAGTGTCGTGATCCACAGGGCCATCGACCCAGCCGCCTCCGTCATGTCTCAAGAGATCCCTGAGAATGATAAATTAGCATCCCCCCTCACTCTGCGGTCCTTTCCCACCTCCTCCCACTGCCTCCCACCACCTCCTACCACTCCTCTCAGACTTATCAATGAGTGTCGTGATCCAACGGGCCATCGACTCAGCCACCTTCGTCATTTCTCCTCCCTTCGTCCGCGACAACTACCCCTACCATTTCATCGGCCAGGTCTTCCCAGTCTACTTCAACCTCACCACCTTCGCCCTGCCCCCCTCGCCCTCCTCTCCGTCCGTCACCATCCCTCCGCTTGCCACACCTGAGGACCTCCCAAGGGGGTTTGTGATCGCGGGGTATAACTTTGCAAACCTCCGATCGCTGGCGGGGTTTAAGCAGCTGGAGGAGTTGAATACGAGGGTTTATCTGGTGGATGGTACCAAGGGGGGGGCTTGGGATGGTGCGCAGAATGGGGATGTGCTGAGTGGGGATGGGCAGAATGGGGATGGGCAGAATGGGGGTGGAAAGAATAGTAGGTGGTTTCCTGCGCTGCTGTTTGATCATGAGGGGGTGGTGGGAGAGCAGGAGATTGGTGTGTGGATGGTGGACGGGAAGGAGCAGGACAGGGGGAGAGTGCGAACGATGGTGCACCTGGGGGACCCGACAAGAAGCTTCTATCTTTTCTGCGAGTGAGTTTATGTGCGAATGCTTGCATGCATGTACACGTGCATAAGCACGCATGCGTGCATGCATGCATGCAGATAGACATGAGCAACAGGCGAACACCGAACATGTTCGCCCGAACCTCCACGAACGTGTCTTGTAGGCGAACCGAACATGTTTGGTTCGCCCGAACATTTTTTTTTTGCGATTTTAGGTGTTCGGTGTTCGTGATAGGGGGGCGAACACTGCATGTTCGGGGCGAACCCGAACATGTTCGAGGTTTGAGAGTGTGTTTTCAGTGGGCCAGCTCCTCCTCCGTGGCCTCCCTCCCCCCCTTTCCGAACATCGAACATCAAACATGTTCGGCCGAACATTTTTGGCCAAAAAACATGTCCGGTTCGGTTTTGTAATGAACATGTTCGGTCAAACCGAACAGGCGTTCGGATTTTTGCTCATGTCTACATGCAGACATGCATACGTACACACGTACATAAGCCCACATGCAGATGCATAGAACATTCATGCATGCATTCGCCCATGCATCCATGAAGAAATGCAAACTCACATACATGCATGATGCATGCATAGATACGCATACGTACCTACATGTATATGTGTATCGTATCAATTTCCTTGCCTCCGCAATCCATCCCTCCCTATCCTCCCTCCCTTCCCACTATTCTCCTTGCTGACCACTATGGGATCTAGAAACTCTATGCGCAACGACGAACTCACACAAAGTTTTCTCCACGTAGTCACCTCCAATGGTTCTCGAGTGTATGGTAGAACCAACCCCTAACCAAGGGTCCGTGTTTGTCAAGAGAATAACCAAGTGTAACGTCAATCAAGAGCACGATAGCATTCCCACACTCCTTAGCGAATCGTTACGATGACAGATTGGCTCTTCGCGTCAATACGTCGATAGATAAAAATTGATTCACAAAGATTTGTTACAACTAAACACATGCGCACAATTACATGTCAATACGTCGATAGACACAAGCAAGGGAAAATACCAAACGGTTGATTAACTGCATTTCTAGAACTTCGCCAGGTCTGCAATGGAAAACGGTTGTCCAACTTCAGCTGCATTTCGCTTGGTCCGCCGCCTTAGAAAAACTATCTTCATGTTGCAATTTATCCAAACGCCCCGGCTGATTCCTCACACGAGCTCTCATGACTTCGGATAACTACTCACTCGTGTGGGAATTCCGTTTTCCTAAGGCTTTACAGTTGAAAAACGGTTTTCACCGTTTTGTACCAGTAATGAAAACGCGACGTTTTGGCGATAATTCCTTGTGCCACGTCATAAAAGACGAGGCCCAAGATTCAGTTATTCAACTTAAATGTCGAGTGAATCCCAACACCCTTCGGGATCCCTCGGCACTCCCCCAAACCCAGAAGCACCACTGAGGGGTGCAATCGTGCCCGACCGATACTGTACAGCGCCCAACGTGCGCTGTCCTACGCGAGGGCAGGGCATTCATTCGCCCTGTCTTGTTGCGATCGTGCACACTGTGCACGCTCGCAGCAGTGCGAGGCACACGCGCGGGCCCTGAGAACCGACACCCGAGATCTGGACCGCACGCGCGGTCCAGATGCTATCACGCTTTTACCTTGACCAGCGCGAGAATTTTTTTAGGGGCAAACAGTGGCCCCTCGTGAACACTCGCAACCCTTCACGAGCACACACGAAAATCCCTGGAAACACGAACTTACATGGAAGCACAAAGTACATTAACGCTCATGAACAAACCACGAAAGATTCACGAAAACAAACAAACACCAAAATTCACGAGCACTAAAAAATGCAACCCCTCATGAAGATGCACATAACTCATGAACCATCGAGGCAATTCAGAAGCCGTGTATTGCACTCAACTCAACATTCCTCCTCCGCCTCCACTCCTTCCCTCACTCTCCCCATCCCGCCACAGGCACACCTCTTACACCAGGTCGTTCGGCCCGTTCATATGGATAATAGTCGCCATGCTCTTCCTGACGGTCTCTACCTTCCTCCTCTGGACGTGCATTCAGCTCATGCACGCCTTTGAGGGCGACTGCCAGCACTTAGCCGTGGCGCAGCATGAGCTGCGTGCTGCTCGAATGGAAGCCGAGGCGGCGAGCCGGGCCAAGGGCGACTTCCTAACCACCATGAGCCACGAGATCCGCACTCCCATGAATGGCGTCATAGGTAAGTGACTTTTGAGGCGCCTCAATAGTAAGTAAAATATGGTTTTTTTTTTTTGTGTTTGTTGGGGATGCAATGGGTCTTCTTTAAATGCTGTGCTTTAGGCCGGTAGAGAAATCTCAAAGGTTGATGCAAGCCGTGCCAATCACCTTGTCCCCATCGCCTCCTCCTTCAATGTCACGTCCTAAAGGCCAGTAGAGAAAAATAAAACAAGAATCGGGGTGGTATGTGGGGTATCGCATTTTGAGGGTTGTTATAGTCACAATATGCTATAATGTGAGTTAAACGAAAGTTAAAGTGCACAGACGGATTTTTGCAGAGCGCCTTCAAAATCTGATATCTGACTGAAGTCGTGTACAATGAACAAGTTTAATCGCGCGATTTCACAATGAAATGAGGGACGCGATGATAGTTTGAACAGACGGCGACGGTTTAGCAAAAAATATAGTCTTAGGATACAAGATAAAAAGAAGTTCGAATTGAGATTGACTCCCAGCCTTTACAAACCCAACAGCCGAGGTCCAGGAAGGTGGAACAGTGTTACACATTCCCTAACCCCGAATGGTATCGAAAATACATGGTGAAGTGAACAACCCACATCACTTTTTGTTTGTTTGTTCATTCCCAGGCATGCTGAACCTGCTGCTGGAGACCCCATTGGACGGCGCGCAGCAGGACTACGCGGAGACGGCGTGCAGCAACGGGCGGGCGCTGTGTGCGCTGATCAACGACATTCTCGACCTCTCCAAGATCGAGGCCGAGAAGCTCTGCCTCGAGCGCATCCCCCTTGATCTCCGCGCCGAGCTGGACGACGTGCTCGCTCTGTTTGTGGAGAGTGCTGATGAGAAAAGATCGGTAGAGCTTGCCGCGTTTGTGGCTGACGACGTGCCCGAAACGATGCTTGGGGATCCGCTCCGAGTGAAGCAGGTGCGTGTGGTGTAGGAAGTAGGCATGAGCAAGTACCGAACGCGAACCGTTTTGAGTCGAACAGTGTTGAACTTCCTAAACTCTGTCATTCTTAGCACGAATATCACATTTGCATTCAATCAATGTATTATCCGTTGCATTTGTGGCGCTTTCCTTGCTCACCCATTGTGTGCGTGCCTGTCTGCTTGTTTGTTTGTTTGTTTTTTTGTTTGTTTGTTTGTTTTTCTGTGTGCAACAGATACTCATCAATCTCATCGGCAACGCATTCAAGTTCACCACCAAGGGCCATGTCTTCATTGCCGTGCGCCTCGCAACCCCCGCTGACAGCAACAATACCAACGATGATGCCGGTGGCCCCCCATCGCTGCTCTCAGCTGCATCCTCCACGTCCTCCTCATCACCCTCACCATCACCACCATTATCCCCCCACTCCAGAAAATCACCCACCAGGCACCACTCCCTTGCCAATTGCTTCACCAGTGCAAACAACTGTAGAGAGGGGAAGGATGCAGCCGAGGGAGGTGGGGCCACTGCTGGTGCGGATGGGAGGAGCGGTGCTGCTGCTGGTGGCACCAATATCACTCGTGGTGCCGATGTTGGCAGCACTAGTGGCAGCGGGCCTGTTGCGCGTGCCGACGTTGGGCCTGCTTCCACTGACCCTGGGTGTCTGACTCTGAGTGGCCGTGCAGCAGTGGAGACATGGTGCTCGTGGGAGGGCATGCGGGAGCACATGGACCTTGCTGCCGTCGGCATGGCGAGTCATGGTTGCCGTGGCCCTTGCATCCTGCCTCCTGACCAGCCCGTGCGCCTGTTGGTGGCTGTGGAAGACACAGGTACGACGAGACGATTGCGCGTGATTTCCTCATCTTGTGCAACCGTTGATCATGTTGTGGGATATGTCATCACGCATGCCTTCAAGCTTTCACGTGCTCCCCAGATGCCCCAGCAAGCGGTTCTAGTCGTATACCTCCTCCCACCTATTGTGCTCCTGTCCTCGTTCTTTCTGCAGGTGCCGGCATCCCACGCCACGCTCGGAGGCACATCTTCCGGCCGTACACACAGGCAGAGCGCAGCACGGCACGGCTGCATGGAGGCACGGGCATCGGCCTCTCCATCTGCAAGGTGGGCTGCGTTGTTGGAGCATACATTGCTATCCTTCCATATATTTCCATTTCCTGCCCATATCTTTCCATTTCCCCACTCCAATTCCTCCCACCCCCCTCCCTCACTGCAGCGCCTGGTGTCACTGATGGGCGGATCCATCTCCTTTGTCTCAAAGCCAGGCGTCGGCACCACCTTCCTCTTTGATATCCTCCTCCACACACCCCCTCTCTCTCACCCTCCTCCCTCCCTGGCTCAACCTCCCCAACCCCACACAACTACTCCTGAACTCAGCACTCCGCCTCGTGCCCCTGTCCCACTTCTCTCCTCTCTCTCACTCCCTCCTCCCCTGCTTTATGCATCTCCAACCTCTAAGCCGTCCTCTGCCTCTCCCTCGGGCACAATATCCATCCCCACTCCTCTTCCTCAACGCTCCTGTATGGCCCCCCAAGGCACAACCAGCCAGCAGCAGCAGAAGCAGCATCAGGCAGCATGTGGGCTACAGGGAGTGTGTGTGGTGAGTGGTGGGAGTGGTGGGAAGGCAGCATGTGCGCCAGGCGGCGTGTGTGTGGTGAGTGTGGACGACCGGCCGGTGCGGCATGCCGTCACTCTCTCTCTGCTGCGCCGCCTTGGCTTCTGCACCCTCCCCTGCCCCTCCTTCCACCTCCTCCCCCGCCTCCTCGCCCAACACCATGCCTTGCACCATGCGGAGCAGATGCAGGGGCAGGAGCAGGAGCAGGAGCAGGAGCAGGAGCAGGAGCAGGAGCAGGAGCAGGAGCAGGAGCAGGAGCAGGAGCAGGAGCAGGAGCAGGAGCAGGAGCAGGAGCAGGAGCAGGAGCAGGAGCAGGAGCAGGAGCAGGAGCAAGAGGAGGAGCAGGAGGAGGAGCAGGAGGAGGAGCAGGAGGAGGAGCAGGAGGAGGAGCAGGAGGAGGAGCAGGAGCAGGAGGAGGAGCAGGAGGAGGAGCAGGAGCAGGAGGAGGAGCAGGAGGAGGAGCGGCTTCCCTTCTCACAAACCAACACAGGACCTATCAGCAACCACTCATATCGTCCTCTAAAGCCTCGTCTTGAGCCGTTGAATTGTGCTCTCGAGCCTCCTCTTGAGCCGCTGACTCATCCTCTCGAGCCTCTGACTCATCCTCTCGAGCTTCCTCTTGAGCCATTTGGCTCGCCGGCTGTTCTTGTCGCTTCTCTTGCCTTCCGCCCCTCCGCCTCCACCCCCTCTGCTTCCTCCGAACGTTGCTCCCCTCTCTCTCTCGCTCCCCTTTCCCGCCAGTCCTCCTGCCCTCCTCTTTCAGTCACTGCCTGCTCTTCGAGCGAGAAGGGAGTGGGTGGAAGGGAGGAGGAGCAGCAGCGGCATCAGCGGCGGCAGAGGCAGCAGCGCTGGTGGAAGAAGCAGGAGGAAGAGGGAGAGGAGGAGGGGGTTGAGGAGGAGGAGGTGGAAGAAGGAGAGGAGGAGCACGAGGCAGAGGAGGAAGAAGGAGAGGAGGTGAATGGAGAGGGGGGATTGCAGCAGCAGCAGGTGCACTACAAGAGCTTGAGCAAGGAGGAGAGGCGGGGATGGGTGGGGGCGGTGGTGGTGGAGGGGGAGATGATGCAGCGGTTAGGCGTCACAGCAGATCAAATCCATTCTCTTTTGATGGACCAGGGAGGGGTTGGGATGGCAGGGTCTGGTGAGCTGATGAGCGAGCAAGAGCAGATGAGTACGAGTGAGCAGATGAGCAAGCAAGAGCAGATGAGTACGAGTGAGCAGACCTCCAAGGGAGGGCACCTGGGGGTGGGTAGGGACGAAGGTGAGGAGATACCAAGGGAGAGACTGAGCAGGTGTGCAGTGGAGGAGAATTCGCACGGCAGCGAGTGCAGCAAGAATAGCAATAACTGTGGAAGGTGGCCCATCCCCTTCCTTGTGCTACTGCATGGCTCGTTCCCCCTCCCACCCAGCCCTCTTGCCAGAAGCCTAACTGCAGCCGACAGCTTCAGCCCGAGGGATGCTTATAAAGGGGACAGCTTTTCCCATGAACTGGATTTGGACGGTCACAGGGAGGTCGGCTGTGAGTCGCCACAGAGACGGAGGGGTCGGAACGGAGAGCAAAACAGGGACAGGATTATGGAGAGGAGCAGGAGAAGAAGCTGTAAGGGCAAGGAGAGGGGTGCAACTTCTGAAAGAGTGGATGGAAGGGCGGAAGGAGTCGATTGTGAGTGTAAGCCGGGAGCCTGTAACGATTTGACGAGAAGCTGCCAAGGCGGCAGCAGCGGCAAGAGCAGGAGAAGCAGGTCGCCTGCCCTTTCCCTCTCGCCCTCGCCTGCGCCCTCGCTCGCGCCCTCCTCCTCCATCCCCTTGCTATTGTCACTTGGCTTTGACGCTGTGGTAAGAAAACCTCTACGGAAACCGGCATTGCTGGCGGCGCTTCTGCCGCTGTTCCCTGTGGGCACGGAGCAAGGTGAGTTGCAGGAGGGCGGTGGAGGAGGAGTAGGAGGAGGAGGCAATAACGAAGATGCAGCACAGGGAGGGTTGAGGGGGAGAGGCGAGGGTCATACTGTGGGAACGAGTGGTTTAGTGAAGTTCAGCCAAGAAGCTTCCCGCCACCACCACCACCACCAGCGGCAGGAGCAGCAGCAGCAGCAGCAGCAGCAGCAGCACCACCACCACCACCATCACCACCACCACCACCAACAGCAGCAGGTCTCAAGAGATAACCCACGCGTATGCCACCGCCCTGTCAGTATTGACTGTAGTGACAGTTTCAATCGACGGGGGCAGGGCCGGAGGCGGTGGGGTGGTGCAGCATTGGAGCTAGCGAGCCCATCAGGCATCCACAAGGCAGGCAGCAGCGCTGCAGCAGCCCTGTGGCAATCTGTGACGTCCCCCCGCCCACTCATGTCCCCACGATCACTCAAATCGCCTCAGTCCCTCAATTCCCCTCAGTCGCTCGATTCCCCTCACTTGTTTAACTTGCACCCCTCTCAATCTCCTAACACTCCTACCACTCCCACTACTCCCACCACCCCCACTTCTGGCTCGGCCAAATCCAACACGTGCCCCATGCCGGCACAAAACACATCACCCGTTTCGAACACTGGCCACGCCTCCTCTCCACATGCACCTCCCCACCTCCTCCCCGCTACTGCTGCTGGTGCTGCTGCTGCCGCTCCTACTGCTGCTGCCGGTGCTACCACCAGCCAGCATCGGCGCTCCTTAGAGCCACGTGGGATCGTGTCGCTGAGTGCCAATGGCGGTGCATCCAGGGCGGACCCTGCCCCTCACATGCATGGCCCAGGCAACTGGTCGTTGGCGTGCACCAGTGAGGAGGAGGCATCGGATGGAGGGCAGCAGCAGCAACAGGGCATGGATGGCAACAGTGGCTCGTTGGCGAACCGATCAGCTTCCCTCGAACACCTGGTTGAAGCATTTGCACCTGCACCTGCACCTCCTGCTGCTGCTGATGATTTGGAAGGTTTGGCATCGAGTGCTGCTGCTCCGGCAGGTTTCGCATTGGTGGCCGGTACAGCGTGTGGAGGTGGTAGGTCGGCGGGAGGTAGAGCCCTTGGGAGAGGCACCAGTGCTGTGGAAGCAGCTGGTTCAGGCAAAAGGAGGGCATGGGTGCACGGTTCAGCAGGCGAAAGGAAAGCAGCTGGGCAGTCCCGTGCAAGACAGAGTGATAAGAGGCATAGCACAAGCAGCAGTGGTGCTGGTGGCGATGATGGTGCTGATGTTGCTGCCGCTGCTGGTGCTGGTGGTGGTGGCAGAGTGAGTGGGTTTGAGAATGTGCTGGATTTCGCAGGGTTCTCTCCTGCTACTTCGTGCTCCTCGCTTGGGACATTATCGCCTGCCCCTACACGCACACCATCGCCGTCACTCTCACCAGCCCCAGCACCAGCAGCATTCCCAACAGCAGCACCGCCAGCAGCACCAGCCGCAACAGCAGCGGCACGAGAGCCGGCGACGGTAGGGGAGGGGTTGAGCGTGCTTTTGGGGAGGCAGGTGATGGTGGTGGATGACAATGTGATCAACCGCAAGGTGGCCAGCAAGCTGTTGGAGAGGCACGGCGCGCGAGTCACCGCCGTGGATGGCGGCACCAAGGCCCTTCACGCCCTCGCCCCGCCCCACCCCTTCCACCTCGTCCTCATGGACCTCCAGATGCAGGGCATGGATGGGCTGGAGGCGACTCGCAGGATCCGAGCGCGGGAGAGGGCTCAGGGCGGGGGGCATGTGGCCATCATTGCGCTCACAGCGGATGTGATTGCCGGCACGCGCCACCACTGCTTTGCCGTCGGAATGGATGCCTACCTCTCCAAACCCCTAGAGGAAATGCAACTTTCCAAGGCCGTCTGGCGCTGCCTCGCCAATACATGATCGTACACATAATCGCGTTATAAATGCACTGTGCATGTCTGAACCTCAGGGAATTCGAAATTTGCGTGCTGGTAATCTATGAGGTACTAGCCAATGAATATTCATGAAGGCGTCTCCAATATTCCAACGACCATACAACATTGTTCTGGGGCAGAATAGAGTTCAACATTTGATAGTATGGCTTTGGTTAGCAGTGAAATCCTATTATAGTTGTATGAAGTGTGGCTCCTGATGTACAGAACATTGCGCCTTGGTAATGTACTTCTCCTTTCCATGGCGGATGAGACAACGCATATGATGATCCGATCATCTGATTTCCTGCATTTACTGTACATGTGCACGAGGGTGCGCGTGCGAGGCCTGATGAGCTTTCTCGCTTGCCCTGCCCAGGCGGTTGTGTGAATCCCTGTTTGTTTGTTTGTTTGTTTGTTTGTTTGTTTTTGATACGGAAAAGTACACTTAAAAGGGATAATGTACAAAACGCATCAGGCAGTCGTAACTGTGTCTGGAGGGAAGCACCACAGTACCGTGTACCGCGGACTCCCTATAACGAGCCTACGGTGGCTGATGAGTCATCTTCGGATTGTTCCAGATGGAGCTAAAGCTGCTCCTCCACGTCAGCGGTGCCCCCTTGTTGCATATCCGTCCCATCACAACCGCTTCATCTGCTGCCAGGTAACTCCAACCATCGCCACCGGCAGCCACGCCGTGTTTCCGTGCCGCCACTTGCCTTGCCAGGCAATACAGTCTGGCATGTGCGACAAACTTAACCACCGCCAGGCGTATTACCTTCTTCGGCTGGAACTTGATGTCCTGACGACTTGCATCACACCTGGCAAGCCACACCTGGTGCAGTGTGGCGGCAATAAAGGAGATTTCCGGAAAACCGGGCTTCGTGCTTCTCTGCATGAAGAGGAGGTCCTCCAGACCCTGCCAGCTCAGCTGCGGATTCATCTCAGCCAGTCCTTTCTGCAGGAACCGTACCACCTTTTGAATCGCCGGGCAGCCGAGCAGGCAGTGCTCCGGTGTCTCCTCTGCTTTGCAGTGTGGGAAAACTACCTTATCCTTCAGAAAGAAAAGCCGCTCCCCCACTTGCATATTCCTACAGTGCAGCCTCAGCAGGATTTCTCGTGCCCGGGCAGGGGTGGCAAGAGAGTCCCTCTGTTTGATGACCCCTTTCCACTCAATAACCCTTCCATCTCCAATCCATCTCCGCTGTTCCTTCACAGTGCCTGCCGAGCTAACCATCTCCTTCCTAATTTATTTCAGCGGCAGCACCTCCCCACCCTTGCTTAGCTTGGACTGCAGAAACTTTGTCCGCTCCTCGCCCATTAGCCCCAGCACCTTATCTCCCTGAGCCGCTACCGGCTCCCCGCTGTGCAGCCCGAAATTGACCGGGTAATTCCCGTCGCCGACTTTGAAGGTTCCATCAGCGCCTTCCCAACACATCACCCCCGTCACTCTGCCACCGTCGGTGCTGCTGACTTTCCAGAGCGTAGGACACGCGAAGGTACTCCTCTGGTACCGCAGCAGAGGGACTTTAGCCGCTATCTCCTCGCTTGTCAAGGTCTCCAACAGCATGTCTCTCCACCCGGCTGACGCCGCCGCGAAGGCCTTCAGCGCCAACTTCGCCGCATCCACACTGCCGAGCTCGCTCGCCAGAGTTTCCTCGCCTTTCAGCTCCCGCGTGCCGTCTGCCCGGCGCCAGATCAGATCGCCCATCGTCAATCCCAGTAACCGTGCCGAGCCTTTCTGATTCCCGAAGGGGCTGGCTCCCCGGAAAGGTATGCGTCTGTTAAACGCTAACTGCTCCCGCTCCGCCTCCCAGCGATTCCTTGGCTCCGGGGTGACGCAAAAGGGTGATTTCCAGAACGCTTGCGCAATGTCCTTCCAACGCTTACTGCCCTCCGTCCAGTGCTTTAACAGGGACTGGTGAGCGTAAATCGTGTCCGGGCCTAGAGGCATCGCTTCCGCTTGCTCCGTCAGCCACTTCTTGACTGGATTCGCTTGCAGCATCATGCGGCCGACATTCTGCACCGCTATGCTGTCAAATCGTTTCTTGGGGCAGATCATCCCCAGCCCTCCCTCTTCCTTGGGTGTGCAGATCAGCTCATAGTTCCAAAGGATGAAGGCCCTCTCCTCCGTCGCCTCCCCTCCTGACACGAAATTGTGGCATATCCGCTTGATTTTCGTCCATATCTCCTCCGGCGGCGGGTAAATGTATGCTTGAAACATGAAAATGGGCGATATGTAGCCGTTGATTATCGTGACCCTCGCCGACGTTGTTAGGTGCTGGATCTCCCATTTGGCTAATTCTTTGCGCGCCCTGTCCAACGCATTTTCCCAGGACGGGAGTGGGTCGCCGTTCGGAGTTATCCAGACACCCAACAGCCTCTCTGGTGCATCCTTGTCAGCCCACTTGTACAGCAGGCCCGTCGGCGGAAGCTTCCCTCTGTTCTTCCCGAGTGGAAAGACCACCGTCTTATCCTTGTTCACTTTCAGCCCCGACGCCTTCCCGAAATTTTCCAGCGCCTCAGCCGCGGCAGCCAGCTGCTCTTCCCCCTGCAGCAGGAGTGACGTGTCGTCGGCGTACCCCATATACGCCAGCCTCCCTGTATCCCCGTCGCCGATGCCCAGCCTCCGCTGCGCAAACTCCTGACAGAGCGGCTCCACCGCACATAGAAAGAGGTACGACGCCAGCGGGCAGCCTTGTCGCACCCCTTTCTCCACCGCGACTCTGTCACCTGTCCATCCATTGATATGCAACCGTGTTCCTGCTCCTGTGTGCAGGCCTTCCGCCCAAGACACAAACTGCTCCGGAACCCCCATCCCTTGCAGCGTGCGGAAAAGGAAGGGTCTCAAGATGGAGTCGAAGGCCTTCTGAAAGTCAACCATTAGGAGGAACCAGTCCTTCCCGCCGCTGGCCCCTGCCTCAATAGCGTCCGCTACCACCGCAACGGCGTCCGCCAGCTTCCGACTGGGTAAGAAACCCGCCTGATCCTCCGAAATCACCTCGTGCAGAACTTTTTTAAACCTTGTCGCCATTACCTTCGCTAGCACCTTGTAGACCGTGCTTAACAACGTGATAGGCCTGTAGTTTCCTAACTCCTCCTTACTCCCCTTCTTATGCAGCAGGATCGTAACCGCGGTTGAGATATCTCGGGGAAGTTCCGCCGTCCGCGTGAAGTTACCAACGAACTGCATCAGTACTGGGCCAAGCAAGTCCCAGTTGTGCTCGAACACCTCCTTGGGAAGGCCGTCCTGACCAGGCGACTTTCCTGGAGCTAGCTCGCGCACCGCCGTCCGAACTTCCTCCTCCGACCATGATGCACTGAGGGCGCTACGGCTGGCGTCGCACATCGTCCGGCTCATAATTCTTGGTTCCGTCTCGTGAGGGCCCGTCTCCCCGTTCCCGCCGAAGGAATCTCTGAAAAACTCCGTCGCCGCCGTGAGCACGTCTCTTGCACCGGAGTGAGTGCTGCCCTTGAATTGAACAGCTTTCGTTTCTGTCTTGGCCTTTCGCACTTTTACCTTCCCAGATAGGAAGCCGGTTGTCGTCTCCCCATCCAGCTCTGCCTTCACTCCGAGCCACTCCTGCAGCTTCTCTTGGTGGCTTTTTTCATATGCGTCAAGTAACTCCTCTTTTTTTAGCAGGATTGCTCCCGTCCGCTGACACTTCGGGTTCTGCGACCGCCGCTGCCGGAAGACCCTCACCTCCTTCTCCAAGTGTCTTTTGGTTGCCCCGACTCTCTTCCTTTCCTCCCGTGTGTACGCTCACAGGCACGCCGTCAGCCTGGGCAGCAGCACGCCAAGATCTCTGCCCGTGTCCTTGAGCACCCGCTCCACCCGATTTCTGACCCCTATCTTTTTCGCTTGTACGGCCTTCAAACGCCAGATGTCGGGGCCCCTATCGACCGCCGCCGACTATCACAACTATGCATTTATATGCTCTAGGCTGTAGTAGGGCACTCATGGGGTACAACCCAATTAGGTTTTGCTATACAAACCCTGTACTGCTGTCATTCTAGTCATCATTCATTCCTACTTTCTGACATGGTTTCAGAGCAGGTTCCCTAGTGGGAACTTTTTTTTAGGGCCCACCACGATATTTTTCCTGCCCTGCCCGAAGCGCGCCTCGCGCCTGCCTCACCTGCGCCGTCGCGCGCCCTGCCCTACTGCCGCCCGTCGCGGCCTGACCTAGCAGCCCGTCGCGGCCCTGCCCTTTCGCCCCCTGTTGCGGCCCTGACCTCGCCGCCCGTCGCGGCCCTGCCCTGCCGCCACCCGTCGCGGCCCTGCCCTCAGCCGCTCGTCGCGGCTCTGCTCTACCGCCGCCCCGTCGCGGCCCTGCCCTGCAGCCGCCTTGTCGCGGCCCTGCCCTGCTGCCGCCCCGTCGCGGCCCTGCTCTGCCGCCGCCTCTTCGCGGCCCTGCCCTACAGCCGCACCGTTGCGGCCCTGACCTAACCGCCCGTCGCGGCCCTGCCCTGCACCCGCCCCTGGTAAGCGCCCGCCCTACTAAGCGCGCCGCCGCGCCCGCCTGCCTGCCGCGCCGCGCCCTGCTGCAGCCCGCGCGTCGCGCTCTGCTGCCCCGCGCGTCGCGCTCTGCTGCAGCCCGCGCGTAGCGCCATACTGCCCTGCGCGTCGCGCCCTACCCCCTGCCCGTTAGGCCCGCCGCGGGCCCTCCCTTCGCGCCGCCACGCCTGCCAGTTACGCCCGCTGCCGCGCCCGCCCGTTAGGCCCGCCGCGGGCCCTGCCTTCGCGCCGCGGCGCCTACCCGTTCGGCCCGTCACAGGCCCGCCCGTTCGCCCCTCCCGCACCTGACCGCTACGCCCGCCGCGGGCCCGCCCCTTGCGCCCGCCGTGCTTGCGTTTTGCGCCCGCCGTGCCTGCGTTTTGCGCCCGCCGCGGGCCTGCACTCGCTGCCCAGCGTCGCCCTGCCCGTGCGCGCTGCTGCCCGCGCCAGCGCCCTGCCCTGCCAACGCGCCAGCGCCCTGCCCTGCGCGC